AAAAGTGTGTGGCTGCGGCAGCTCCGGTGAGACCCAGGGCAGTTCCAAGTTAGAGGGGCAGGCTTGGGCAGGGAGAGAAAAAAAAATCACTTCCACAGCTGCCTCTCCTAGTTCATTTCTGCTCCAGCGGGGAGGGCAGCTGAACCTGGATTAGGGGTTTGCAACAGAAGTCTGGGGAGGTACCTCAACACTAGTGAAATTTGGCAAAACATGTCCAGGATTTTGTCCTGCAAAGGGGATTGTGAAAGGGGTGGTGGCACATGCATGTCAAATTGAATGTTCCGATCTGCGCACCCGGACGTTAACAGCTGCTCTGCGCACATGCCCTAGCACCTGCTGGGAAAAGTGTGTGGCTGCGGCAGCTCCGGTGAGACCCAGGGCAGTTCCAAGTTAGAGGGGCAGGCTTGGGCAGGGAGAGAAAAAAAAATCACTTCCACAGCTGCCTCTCCTAGTTCATTTCTGCTCCAGCGGGGAGGGCAGCTGAACCTGGAGACACGCGTTACCCCCGCCAGCTGCTCAGTACAACGCATCCTCATCGTCCCTTCCCCGTGGCGCTGCGGAGGAGCTAAAAGGTGGTGAAGCAGCACAATAAGCTTTGCTCCAAAGGACCCCCCCACATCAGTGGCGTAGCAAGGGAGGGGGGACAGCTGCCCCCGGACACCACGCTGGGGGGCTCTGGGCTGGCAGTGCACAGTCCCATGCAGCAAGCCCAGAGCTGGCGGACCACTTGCTCCCTGCCGACAAGCCACTGGGGCAGGGCAGCGGGAATGGGCACTTCAAAGGTAGGGTTACCTTACGTATGATGCCTGGCTCTGGGGGAGGGGAGGGACACTGAATTAGAGCGGGAAATGCTGGCGGTGCTTGGCTCTGGGGGAGGGCACTGGGTTAGAGTGGCGGGCCTGGGGGTGTCTGGCTCTGAGGAAGGGGTAGGTGTATTGGGTTAGAGCAGGGGAGAGGTGGGACGGGAGATCTACTGTCAGAGCCTCATTGATCACCATCAACTGGAACAGCTACTTGATGCCATTCCGGGAGATGTTTTTTACTGCATCCTTTTAACAGCCAGAGACAAAAATGAGCCTCAACATAGGTCAATGCAGGGCTTCCTACCTCATCCTACCTCATAATAGGGAACAGGCCAGAGGATCACTTGCAAGTTCTATTGTGGCTTAGCTGTATATGAAGCCCAAGCTTATCAACAGCATTAGGAAACTTCACTAACAGAGCCCCTGAATATGCTTCTCATCTCCCTCACTAGTAGAGTTACACAACTCCTTGAGCGTCCATCACTAGAGTGTCCTGCAAAAGTAATTGCTCTGCTCAAAGAGCACCACTGAAAGGGTAAATGAGCCAGATCAGAGATCTAGAAGGGAAACTGATCTGTTCTAACCAACTCCCAGAAACGTCTCATCTAGTGTTTAAAATATTCAAACCCCATTTCTTGTTGCAACTGGTCTATATCTGTGCAGTAAACCACAGTAAATAGTGTGCTACTTAGACTAGTATATTTGTTCTTGTAATGGTAAAATACTACCCATTTTGAACTAACAATGAGCAGGTTTGAACAAGAGCATCATCCCACAAAATCTACACAATGTTATTTTCCCTATACAAGAAAAAGAATGTAATAAGTCCTGAAATACATACAGGGCATCCCCACTATAAGTTGCCCCGGGATACATCCATTCCACACTAAAGTCATTGATGCTCCTAGGAACTGATGCCTTATGAGTCCTCCCATTCCCTGCTCTTAAGCTGTGCAAAAAAAAACCCACTTTGCGCAAATGGAAGTCAGCGCAGGAACATATCTTGGACTTCTAGCGAGGACGGCTTGTAACATTCAAGGCCCACAGAAACTAAAAAACATAATTTAACGCTGAATATTTTTAATCTGTATGAATTTTCTGTCTTCAGGCAGAGTGATAAAAAGATTGGGACACTGTTAGCAAAAAAGAATTTTTACTGATTTTATTTACTGCTAAGCTTTTGGCACAACACTCCTGTGAGGTTATCTGCATTTTCCTCTAATTTCTCATCTTTGAGCAGGAAGTAGGGATCGGAAAGTGTAATCGTGTATGCAGTTAACCAATCAGCTTGGGCTCATCGGCACCCACTCCTATGGAGGCACCTTCTCCCGCCCCCATGTTGTACCCTTTAATGCTATCTTTCTCATACAGAGGCAGCAGCATGGAGTGGCAGGCAGAAGCCACCTGCTCCCCATGTGTATGTAACTGCTGACATTTCCAGCAGTAACAGGATTACTTGAATGCATTTTAACATCCCTAGTAGGAAGGAACCAAAAAACAATCTTGGCTTCTTACAGCAACATTTCACAAATTGGGTCCCAGCCTGGCCAATCAACTCCCTCTTCTTGATTCCTGCATGCCACCCAACACCTGTTCAGTGGTGTGAAGAAGGCACTGGGAGAAGTGGGGACAGATCACAGTCAAGAGTCGAGGTAGCAAGCAGGGAAGGGCCAGGAGTAAAGTGGGGGCAAGAAGAGGAGAGGCCCTGGGAGAGGGGTGGCATTTTCTAGCTGTTTTCATACACCGATTAAAAAAAGAATAGTCCCTTACATAAATATCTAGGTATCTCCCTAATAACACATAAGGACACATACATGTAAATGATACAGAAAAGTGACAACCAGCAGACAAGCGAAAGGACCTGGCTGGGGGGTGGGGACGCTGAAGCTCCCCCCCAGATACCTACAGAGACAGTGCTGGCTGTTCCCCTTTGTCAGGGTGCGAGGGGAAGTGCACAATATGTTGTGAAGCACTGGGCTGGGTTCCCTAGGGAGGGGGTGGAATCTCCATCCCTAGAGGTGTTTAAGTCCTGGCTTGCCAAAGCCCTGGCTGGGATGGTTGAGTTGAGGTTGGTCCTGCTTTGGGCAGGGGGCTGACTCAACCTCCTGAGGTCTCTTCCAGCCCTAGGATTCTATCGATCTTGCTGGGGAGCACAGGAGCAGATGAGCTGTACACTTGCTCTTGCCAACAACAGGGACAAGAAGGGGAAGAGCAAGCAGCTGTGGTATGAATCTGGAGGGGATGCTGTGTCAGGCCCCCTCTCTGCTGCCCTCCCCTGCTTACTCTCCTATACACACATCCAGCCCCTGCCTACAGCCCTCCACCCCTCCCCCAGATCCAAGCCATGCCAGTAAGTATGCTCATAGTTTATACATTTAAAAACAGAGATTTTGCAAACATGTTTTTTTCTCTTCACACGTCAACAAACAGCAGCAGGGTTAGGGGGTCAATGGACAATTTTAAATCAAAACAGGGCTCCTTTGGCTGCTGACATGTGAGAACTGCTGTTCTAGAGCAACCCCAAAGACAAGTCTACTTCCAGTTCTCTGGAGTCTGAGCATTGTGCCTGTGGCTGTTCAACTGAGGACTCAACAGCCTCTCCTGTTTCAGGCGAGGGATAAGCAGATTAAAACCAGCTCCTGAGCTCACCTGGAATGAATGTGCTTAAACGTTTTACTGAGATCCATACAAGATTCCAAGTTCCATTTGAAAGCAGAGGCAGACATTTGTCCCTCTAATTTGCAGCGGCCCACAGAAGAGATTTTAAAATCAAAATTTCTATTTAGAGACACCCAAGAGCAGGTTATTAGTGAAGTCTTACGGAAGAGAATGCATTGTAGAACAAGAGGCGCGTATTTATGGATTGCCAATCAGTGTCAAGTGTACAACTGGTGGAAATGGAAGACAGGCTACCAAGTCAAAGCTCATTAACAAATCCTAGACATTAATATTCTTGGTAATTGTATTCTAAGGCTATTTACAATCAAACAGCATGGGCCAGGTATGCATTTCAGTGGCTTATATCATGAAATTGTCAGTAATTGTTAGAACTGACATGTTCTCTATTAAGCTGCTTTAATGTTCCTTGAAGTTATTGACTGTGCTGAAAAGGTACTAAAAACATCCAGATCAGCTCTTTCAAACCAGTGTCCACAAACTGAAAGAGCAGCTTCACAGAGAAGAGCTGTCTGGAGACAGATTGCAGTAAGCAGTTCTGCAATGGTCTGCTAAAGCTCCCAACGTGCAGAGTTTTATTTCTGTAGCTGATTACTTGAAATATATATTTGCACATTAGAATCCTTACTACACCACTGCATAACTACTTACCAAAACTCCCAAACAGCATCATTCAAACCACTGCACAACCATAAGCCTTCAAAGACTTTATGCTCTTCAACAGCTCCTCCTCTCCAGTGCATCAGATAATTTCTTAAGACTAATACAAAAGGAGAGGAAAACGTACATTCTTTATAGGTTACCAACCTCACCATTTTAATTGAAATTAGATGGGTCAGATAAGCACCACACCAAGACAAGTGGATCAGACTTCAGCCCACTACATTAGGCAAGTACATTCATCCACGATGTGACCCTTACATATTGGTTTTATGTCATCTAGCCAAAAAGTCACAGTACGTATATTAAAACATGACCTTTCCAGAAAGTTACATCAACCACCATTTGCTACAAGAGACTCCATTCATTCAAAGCACCACTTGTTAAACCCAGAATCATGCCAGTCTTTGATGGTATTTTGTGTACACATTCAAATGGCAGCTCCAGCCAGTGGAAGACAAGTTTACACCCTCACCTCTATTGTCAATTCCCCTGAAGCCCTAACTAGCAGTCCTCTGAATCCACTCCTAGATGTTCCACATAGCTCAGCCAATCCACCACTCTCAGTTATGCCAGTCATAAGTAGGCAGGCAATCACTGTTAGAACACATCTAAGCAGAACTGTGTGATTGTGGTAAGTGCCACCACAGATGAAGATGAGACTAAAATGTTCATTTATACTTATTACTTAAGTCACCTGTAGAATTCAGGAGCTTAAAGGAGGCTTAGAGCATTCCCCTCAGCAAGAGCGCATTCAACAAACCAGTAAATATAGCACTATTTTAATGGCACAGATATCAGAGATTAATTTCACTTTGTGCTGCTCTCAGATAAGGCATTAAGACATTTTAATAATTGTACCTGTGTTCTTTGTGTTCCAGTAACTGACAGTCTCTGCATGTCAGTCTGTCACATGTTTCACAGAAAAGTTTTAACTGTTCTTGTTTGTGGACAGGACAGAAAACAGGACGTTGACCGGATGCTCCCACGGCCTCTGTTTTTAAAAACAAACCATTTTTGCATTTTAAAATAAAGTTTCAGACAGTTTGAAGAGCAAAATCTCTGCCATGCTGAGTAAGACTTAAGTCGAGCAAGGGCAATTATAAACCTATGGTAACGTAAAAATTCATACTAGAGTACTCATTGAAATATTTACAGAATCAGTTTATCAAGAAAGTTTCCAGGTGTGTTGTTTTAAGCGATGAACAGTTGGGGTTGCTTTCCTTTTCCTGCCTTAAATCTCAGATGAAGCCATACTGGTTGACTACTAAGCTGTGCGTTGTTTCACTCCACTCTATTGATGCCTCATTATCTGAAAGTTCAAACAATCCTCAGACTTTAGCATTGTTAAACACTCAGGGATCTCTTAAACCACTTCTTCAAAAACTTTGACAAAATAGCAATAAATCACATTGAATGGAAAACCTAATATCTAAGTAAATATCACCACTAAGGAATGTCATTTTAGTCAACATCTAGCCATTTGAGTTGCAGCTGGTCATATAATAGAAACTCTCACACAAGCAAATGAAGGATAAAAAGATGATAAATTCTTTCCCGGATTCCAAATGACCCCTTGAAGACACTTGTAGAAAAGCAGAGGAAGATGAAGCAGATAAGGGATTAAAAAGAGAAGTAGTAAGTGGATGTTTTCCTGAATTGTCAAGTACTGTCTGAAGTTGTTACGAGATGCAAGTTACTGTAACAAAAGACAGCATCCATGAAAACAAAACTGCATCTTCCACTAAAATTTTTTTGAAGTGTTCAAGATTTATTTCTCATGGTCTAACAAATCATCATAAACCCATAATAGATCATTTCTTCCAAGTACATGAAGAGTTAGTAATTCCCCACAACTGATAACATCACCAAGAATCACTATCTAGTTTGTTTCTATGGAATGATTACTGCATTAAAAACAGTCCTAACTATAGAAGTGATATTTTCTACTACTCTACATTCACAGCAAAGTGCTGACGGGTAAAACTGGCTCTTCTGTCATCCTGACTGTCATGGTATTTGTACTGTGTGTTACATTAAGAATTAAGCCTTTAAAGTAGCTCTGATCTGGTGGCTTTACCTGGACACTGTCACTTAGAGAGATTCAGAAGTTTGAAAATGTACCATGTGAAATCTTACGCATTAGTAAATGATGTCAAATTTAGGGTAGAATTCAAAAAGTCTTCAAGAGTTTAATTTTGCTGCTAGAACTACAAGTTTTTCCACCAAACAAATTTTCATTGATATTAAGCATTATAAGTCTATAATAATACAGTTTTGGCACAGACCAGGAGTTCCTGAAAAGCCTTTCTAGTGGAACTACACAAGCGGGAGCCAAAACTGCAATCATAAGGATCCTAGTTCCATTCTCTCAACTTGTTCTGCTCTCAGTAGTGATGTCAAGTAACTTACTTAGACCAGCACACACAACAATACTGCTTTATTTTAAGAAGCTTTTATCCCTCACGTGAAAAGAAAAGCTTCCAAATGAACTAAAGGTAGTGCTTTTTTACATCGAACTGTTTTCAGGCTAAGAGGAGTGACTTATCCCCATTTATTTCAGTGAGTTGTGAACCACAAAGCCTGACTGACAAGTTAAGGACCAAATTTCTAGATGTGCAATTTCACATGTGCCCTCAGTTGAAGTAGTGTCAGCAAACTAGTTATTTGCATGTGTAACTGGTGAAAGACACTAGGCTCGTGTGGCCCCTCGCACCCTGAGTGACACTGATGCAATAGTAACTTGGCACCCTATACGAGGGCCATATTCTATACTCAAACCTCCTGTGGGTTGTGTATGGTACAGCCGGACTTTAACCTTCGTAGCTCTGGTCCACAGACTAATAAATGGTGCTTTCCCATCCTTGCCCCCAGATGAGTTGACACCAGTTTTATACCTCCCCAACCCACCCTCCTTTTTAAACTACCAGCCTTGAAATCACATCCTAAGATCTAGAAATTTAGTTTGGCTCTGTTACTAGCAATAACTGAAACGCCATAATTAATTATACTTGAGGCAAAACAGAATTCAAAATTGTATTCACTCCCTCATATCTGCCCAATCAGTGTTAGTAAACAGTCACTAAGGTAGGGAGGTCTCAGTCACAATACACACACAATTCTGTTGATTAAAGTGATACACCCTATACAAGTTTAAGAAAACCAAAAAAAAAAAAAAAAAAAAAAATCCTAGAGCTTAAAAAAAAATAGGACAATACTTCACAGACCCTTTTAACACTATTATTACCAAAACTAACCATTTTAATATGTACAAATTTATTCCACGCAAGGCTCACTGACTGTATGTTGGCTTGCCCCCATTTTTCTCTAAAACCTTCCAGAGACATCACAGGCTAAGGATACGTACATGCAATTCAGCCTCTCTCTCAGGTTATATGTGCACGTGTGCTTATCCACACCATGAACCTCCAAGTGTTTTTTATTCCTAGGCTACAGGTAGAATTGGGCAAATGATCAGCAAACTCACCAGAGGAGACATCCTCTTTCTTTCTGATCATATGATCTTTAGTGAATTTTACTCGCTGATGTGCTTCTATGCATGTCTTGCAAAGCCATTCCCCACATTCCACACAGAAGCCCACAGCACTAGCATTATCTTCACAACTGGTGCACACCTAAAAGCAGGAACAAGTCAACACAGTTACATACAAAGATTCAATTTCCCTTGAGGTTTTTTGAACATAAAGCAAGTCCAGTAAAAGTATTCATACTTTATATGTTCTATCACATATACAGAAGATGAACATACTGCAATTTAGGTACTATTTGATATAAGAAAGTAGAAAACCGTACCTGTTCTGATTTCTCATCAGAGCTACTTGGTGCTTCCGATGTGTCCTTCACAAAGTAGTTATCGACCAGGTCTATCTGCCTACATTCCTGGCGACATATAGGGCACCTGATGACACCAACTACAAGACAAAATGTTTTGTGTTTTTTGGTTTCAAAAAACAAGTCAAATTTATGACAATGTGCTAGAAACGAACAGATTTAAAAGAACACCATCACAGTAAACGTTCACAAAATGGTTAAGTGAAAACCAGACTAGGATTAGCAGTAGCGCCCTAACTAACTCGTACCCATGGGACAAACATTGTGAAGTTTCAGACAAAGTTTTGGAATGAAGGACCAAACACCATTAAAAAACATTCCTCTCGTCATGGGACCAAGCCCAACTGGCATGAATTATGGTGCCATTTTTCACAGACTCTCTCAACAAGATTCAAATATAGTAGGTCATCTAGTTTAAATCACTTGGTTTTGGCTTCACTGGTATTTCTTAGTAAGATTAAATACGTTGGTCCTATACACAAACTTTAATTTCAAAGTAGCCTGAAGACCAAGAAACTGCATCCCTATAGTCTCCAATCTGAATTCTTGTCATATGGATACAATTATTTCACACTACAATAAGCATTTTAAATGCCTGCAATGTACTCCAGAATTGACAAGATGTGTGTCCCTTCCCCCACATTCCTCTCCCTTGAAAGAGCTATGCCATACAGTCATAAGCCTAGTGGAAAAGTCCCTGATTTAGATAAAGATTAATTGGAAAAGAAGAACTGGTTGCTCTATTAAAATTACATGAGGACAATGCAATTAACACAATTCAAGTTTATAAAAAGTAGATCCTGTCAGACAAAACTAATTTTTTTACTATATTATTTATTTTGGTTGATACAGGTAATCGTTCTGGTAATACACTTAGGCTTCTGTAAGGCATTTCTCTAGGTACCACACCACATTTTTACTTGATACTATATGACATTTTGATTAAAAAACTAAAATGATACAAACATCAACAGACCACAGGTTAAACGGCTGACCAGTCTCAATAGGTATTTCTAAATGGGGAATCCTCAAGAGAGTGCATGTCAGGGATGGGAGAGGAAAGAGGGAGTTGCAGGGATCTGCTCTTGGCCCTATGTTATTTAACAATTTTATCAAATGATCTGGAAGAAAATATAAAATCAGCACAGAAAGTCTGCCAATGTCAAAAATTTTAGGGATTTGTGAATAATGAAGGGGACAGGTCACTAATTCAGATCAACCTGGATCACTGGGTAAACAGGGTGCAAGCAATGTGTTTAATACACCTAACGTAAAGGGAAGCAGCTAGAAACAAAGAATGTAGGCCTGAATGTTAGACACTAACTCTTGGCCATCAGCTGAACATAAGCTCCCAGCATGACACTGTGGTTAAAAAAAATGCAGTATGATCCTGTGATGCATAAACAGAGGAACCTCAAATAGGAGTAGAGAGTTTACTTTACCTCTGTATTTGGCAGTGAAATACAGCAAGCGTCCACATATTAAAAAGGATATTGATAAATTGGAGATTGTTCAAAAAGAGACACACGTGATTAAAAGATCAGAAAATATACCTACTAGTTAGAGTTAGAGAAGGTTAATGGTGGGCTGCCTTGAGTACAGTCTATAAGTATGTACATAGGAAATGTTTTTAATATTTGGCTTTTTCTTCTAGCAGAGAAAGGTAGAAGACTGATGACTGGAAGCTGAAGTCAGACAAGTTTAGACTGGCACTGAGTGGATAGTAACCACTGGAACAATTTATCAAGATTGAAAGCTTTCTAAAAGTTATGCTCTAGGACTTATTTTGGGAAAGTTCTCAACAGTCCACTTCTACAGAAGATCAGACTAGGTGATCACAATATGTTGTCCCCTTTTCTGGCCTTAGAATCTATGAATTTACTTTCTTATAGCTACCTTTTCAGGGAGTAGCTTGCAGGTTAATAAAAGATTAAAAGTTGGTCTCCTCAGAATACCTGAAGTACACGTGGAACTGCACAAATCATCTCTGACAACAAGATCTCACATCAACCCTTTGCAATATGTTGTAAGGGTTAGATCAGCAGAAATAAAGAATGGTTTCATATTGCCTAGATATAGATGTGTTTACTTGTATCAGAGACAGCGCAAGAGGGGAGGGAGCAAGAGCTGGTGCTGGGGGCAGCCAGCTTAAAAACCAGTTCCACCAGCACAGTCTTAAAGGCGCGGGGGGCAGGGAAAGCAGAGGTGCAGCGGTCCCAGAGCCCGTGCGAGCTGGGACTGCTTGGTCCTGACTCGTGTCAACTCCAGGAGCTACCCCTGCCACAGCTCTGCAGTTTAAATGTAGTAGGAGCCACGCTGCCTGCACACCCCACTCCTACTACATTACAACTGCACAGCCACAGGAGGGGTTGCGAACACCTCCCTTTACTAATTATGTAGTTGATACAAATTGTATCGACTACACGATTAGCCAATTACCCGCTTCTTAACATCCTTAGTTCCTACTGTGAAAATTAATGGAGGGGGAGTAAACAAGCATCAAATGTTTCTAGACTATTCAGCCACCTAAAAATATGTAATCTTGCTTAGGGTGATACAAGAATCAAACAAAACAGCTGTTCAAGGATTTTTCACATAAAGAGACCAATACTTCTTGAAAGCACATGAAAAAATCTATTTTCATATTTTCAGGGGAACCTGCAGAAAGCTAGTCTTAAAAAGTGATAAAAGTCTTACCACCTATGAAAGAAGGTAGAAACAAGAAGTGACTATTTTAGATGACAAGGAGCTTGTAGAGCAAGCAAAGATGTAACTTCACATGAAGTGCCCACACCAAAGTAACTGGTATATAGGGTAGATCACAACTTTACTTGAAACACCGGATTTATTCCCATGATTATGTTTATTACAGCCAGAGTAAGAGAGCTCTCATGTATTCAGTGGATTAGAATCCTTCTAATATTTTTTTTTCTTCTCAGTCTGCACATTGAACATTGTTTTCGTCTCAGATTTCATTTTCAATGGTGGTTTCATATGTCCTGTGCAATATTATGCAAAATGCATCAGCCTGTATCCCACATTATTTCAGCCAGAACATGGTTCAGTAAATCTATGCATTATCTTAACTACTGAGACTCCCAAGTTCCATTCTCCCAACCATCACGGACACATTTTTTTGCTTGAGAAAAATATGGAAATGGTGTTATTTTATAGGAAAGAAGAAATCAGGAGGAACAGGCACCACTACTGAAACTTGCACAGCATGTAATCCAACTAACAGAAGAAGTATATTTTAGTACTTAAGCTACCTATGACAATGTTTTAGTCATGAAGCAAAATCACTAGAAGGTTTTCCTTTCCCAGTCTCCCAACTGTCCCTCCTGTCAGGGAGCACTATCATAAAATGGACAGCTTCCATGTGGTGCTGGTGGATATTTTGGTGATGTTTTCTGATCCTGCAAAGGCAGTTAGCAGAACTTATGAAGGAACAGATCAGATCAGACATGAATAATTCAAACTAGCTGATGATTAGAGTCCTGACAATTTGTGGATATTTTCTTTATAGCTGCAGCTATCCACAGACGATTTTTGTGGATGCAGATACCAATTCCGTATCCACACAGGAGTCTACTGATGATGCTCATTCCACTTGCCGCAACCACTGATGCCACCTCCAGAAACCAGCTTTTCTGGGGCGGGGCCATAAGCACAGACTCATAAGACTATATGGAAGAGCTAGGATGAATGGTAGAGAATTCAGAACTTTTGCGTGAAGAAAGCTACATTTCTGGATCTTTGTAAGCATTTTGCCCTAACTTTGTAAGCATTTTGCCCAGTATAAAGGCACACGTGAGGGTAGCCATCCCAGTCCAGAAGCAGGTTGCTATAACCGAAGACCAAACTGAGTGCTTGGCAGAATGAGTTAGCAGGCTGTCCTGTAACATGCAGGGTAGTCAGTAAAGTTTTCCCACAGTGCACCACAGTCAAAGGACTAGAGTAACCACATTTTGAGAAGCTGAAGAATAGTCAGATATGACTGCAGCTTGGATGCCAGAAACCCAAATTCAAGAACAGGTTCAAAAATTTGTTAAAGCGGAGTTAATAGTCAGTGTAGACCCATAAGCCCTGGGTTCTCTAATTAGGGTCAGCTAACTAAGTACCTCTGACCCCGTGCTTACAGTGAAGCACAGATATACCCTAAGAATCATACACAAAAATAACTGCTATGTAAATTAGCAGCACAGATAATCGTGGTTCTTGTTTCTCGCCTGTAACCCTAAGTCTGAGCTAATCAAGGAGCAGGAATAACTTCTTACCTGGAAATGTGGGTTGAGTCACCAATCCAGCAGGTGGGGAAAGCCTGCCTGGCACTGTCAACCACACAAGTGGAGACTGGTTTCACTTGCCATCTTCTCACATCATGTGCCACTCCTCCCTGTCATGGCATCAGGAGAGAGAGTGTCCCCAAAGCCTGCAACAGAGGGAGAAGAGAAACTCCCAGATCCCTTGTGACAAGCTCCTAACAAGGGTCAGGTGACCCAAACAGGAAGAGTAACTCACCAAAGAAACTAAGGTGGGAAGAAGGCATTCATGAAAAAGTGGGGCAATATGGCCAAAAACTGTGTGGTCAGAAGTTTTAGTGTTTAATGACGGAACTCAGTCCTGAGTAGCTGTGCGGTAGATTGTACATATTGACAAAGATCTCTGATTTATCCACACTTTTAAAAATATCCACAGGACTATGGATGAAGGGAATTCTTGTCACCTTCTAAGAATTATCATTCTCTCTCTAGTTAGCTGCCAGACCCAAGAACAGGAATTTGAGCCTCCATTAATCAGACAATATTGAAACTGCTACATGTGAAGCAAGGAATCCTGAATGCTCTTTTTAAAAGACAGAAGTTATTTCCTCAATTTCTTGACTAAAATAGAAGATAGATCATCTCAAATAAAGGACAGCCTTGTTAGATGAAGGATGAGATGCAGGCAGAAGTTCTACTATATACTGGGGTTGTTATATTGTTAGATAACTGTAAAACTCTGGAAAGTCCTGTTTGCCTAGAACTCATGTTATGCACATCCATTTTGTTGAGGTCAAAAAGATTTTATTATGAAAATATAAATGCAACAAGCCTTTTGTAGTTGCTTTAATTGTTTATCATTCAAATTCAGGAGTGCATTAAATTATGTCTTTACTATACAAGGACTCAACTATATTCAAACAGTACAGCAAGTCAATACCCCTATCATCATAGAAGTGAAAAAAGATCCTTACACCTTACAATAGTTTCTAGAATCCCACACTAACTTAAAGAGGAGCATATTAAAAAGACATTGACATAAAAACAAGACCCATCTGTAGAGCCCTGTGTGGATACAAAATTTTGTACAGTACCTGCATCTGTATATACAAAAACGGGCAGTGGATATCCCCATACACATCCGTTGTTAGTTTGCAGATATGTACAAATCTGCAAGGTTCAAGATATAAAATCCATGTCCGCATCCACATCCATATCTGCAAAAATGAGCCACGGATATAAAGCAGATATCTGTGGATTTCAGAACTCTACCCATCTAAAATTTTACCTATCATTCTTAGGGATGTAAAATCCAAGTTAACTAGTTAACCCTAAGTTTTAGCCAATTAATCAATGAAGCAGGCTCCCACCCTCACTTCCCTCCCAGCTTGAAGGTGCTTAGAGCAGCTGGCAGCCCTGTGCATCATGTGACTTGGTCCTGAACCCTGTGGAGCTGCAGTTATCCAGTACCCAATAAGTATCATCCAGTAAAAGTGATGCTTACTGGGTAACCGGTTACCTCTTCACATTCCTAATCATTGTTAAGTAACATCTGAAATGTCTTTAAACATATTTTTCATTTTATTTTGTGACTGGACATGAGTGTACTTGGCTAACAGCATCTTAAAAGCTTTCCCTGATGGCTGCTTGCATGGGGAGGGTGTCACACACACAATACCAGAGATTTTTTTTAAATAGAATATAATTGTGTACACCCTAGAAGCTGCAAATATAATACCAACCCAAACTATCAACTTTACCAGATTTCAAATGGACTTTGTCCTTTTAAAAAACTGCATCTCTTCACTCAGATTCTGCCTTCTTCACCATGGTTTCATAAAAAGTGCTCTTTATTTCTTTAATGCTTTAAAAGATTTCAACAGTAAAAAAAGCAGAATTCCAAAGATCTTCGGTGCTGTGGGATAAAGTCAGTTAACTCTTTTCAAGACATGCTAATCTGCAAAGGAGGGCTTTACCCAAAAAAAATCTTATGATCCTAGATCTTGATTAGTCTCTAAGGTCCCACGGGACTACTCATTTTTGAGTTATGACTAACCTGGCTACCCTTCTGAGACTGTATTGATTAGGGTAAGTCTCCTGCCAATTATAAACTAAGCACCGTGTTGTGGTCTTGGGGTGAAGGAGATGAGGGGGAGAAAGTCAAGCTCTTACTTGGCACATCTGTAAAACACTTAAACGAAAAGGTGAAAAACAACTCCAGCCCACAAACTGAGCAATCCAAATCTGCACATCTTGCTCTACTTCAATGCATTTTACCCAGTAGTTGTGTGCCTGTGTCCAACTCCATCGCTCCTGGTTTTTCATAATCTGTAATTAAAGTCAAACAACTAGGATTTCATAGACCAAACCAATGTGAAAAGATTTCTAGAGAAGTTGCAATTCAGGCTGGCTAGTCCAAGAATAAGTCTATCTGCCAGAATCAGAATCTTCATAGTTGTTAGAGAAGACTTTCTAGTCTATTTCAAGGAGACTGGAAAGATAACAGCTGAAAAGCCCTTTTTCCTATGTTTTATAGTTAGCCATGGAAAGTTCTGAATATTTGCTAAAAGCCTCCTAAAAAGTTTGGAACTAAAAGATTGCAAGATGTCCTAATCTCTTTACTAGAAATTGCACACTCAAGAATTATTTTCCTAGAAAGAGGTTGGCCACTCAGCCAGTGAACTTTCATGAGACCTTGAACAAAGAGGACCTGTATCCCAATGGGCACAAGACTAGGTGAAAAATAATTTTAAAGTAATTGCTGGATTTTCTGGTCTGAGTAGATAGCCTTTTGACCGTAAGTGTGGTATATGAAGAACAGTATGTTAAATCTGATCACTGTTAGTTTGCAGTTCATGTTTTTCTACATTCCAAAACCATGCGTCTTAACAAAATGTCTTGTTCAGGAGAATTCCCCCTTTAAATCACTTTGGTCAATCATATACACCATAAATCTGTTTCCTAGGAGAACAGATCATGAGAACTGTGCCAATTCCTCACTTTTCCCCAGATTATTTCAGTATTGATAAGATTCCCATGTTCCCTTGCATTAGTGAGAGCTTAACATTAGTTAAATGTAAAGATGCCTTGTTTTTCTAACTTAAACCAGACAATACACATTCAACCTAAACTATCACCATCATATTTTTCTACAGAGAAGGGTAAAATTTAAGTATCAGCTTGTTTGCAGAAGAGCAAAAGTATTTAAGTACATTGCAAAGGCAAATGTTCATCTTACTGTATAAAAGGAGGAATCAAAAATAAAAATGTATTGCTACTAAAAGCAAAATTAGAGCAAAGTGCTTTGGCTACAAAATACAATTATTTGCTACATTGGTAAAAGCGGGGTGTAGAAAGTATATTCAACAGTAAGCCTGGCAAAGGATGTTAGCAAAGTCTCAAGTAAATGATTAATCGATAGGCCTGGCCTGGCAGCAGCGGGGAGAAGGAGGAGGATGCAGGCACAGCCCCTGTCCCAGGGGAGCTCAGGCCCCCCCCTTGCAGGCAGGGGCTGCTGCTGTAGAGCAGCCTCCGTCCACAGCGGGGCCAGGCTTGTCACTGGTAGAAGTTGTTCCATGTGGGATGCTGATGGAGCCCTTGTCAGTGGGGAGCTCGGGACGGGACCATCAGAGGCAGCAGGGAGTGGAGGGGGCTCCCCAGCTGCCAGCCCCACCCCCAGGTACTATCAAATAATCATGTAACCACTAAGATTTAGTGTGCTTATTCGATTATTGAATTAATCGATATCTAACATCCCTAAGCCTGGCTAAGGTGCTTTTATTTGGACATTTAAACTTGAATATAACTTTAGAAAATGGTGTTGAAAATGATGTCACTAATAATAAAACAAAGTAAATGTGAATAAATGATCATTATGTATTTGCTTATAAGCAAGATGTCACAGCAGCCAAGATAGGAAAAAAACAATCACAAAAATTAAACAATCAGAATGCTGAAAAAATCTTTACATTTCACACTGGGTAAATTTAAAATTCACTGTTCTCAGCTAAAAAATATCTACTTAAGCTTCAGAACTTGACATGCACGGATGGCCGCAAAAGAGCTGCTAATTTTACTGCAAACAATCCAGTTAATATTAGCAGTACTGATTCAGTAACAGAAGGTACTGCTTTCCAGAATGCCTACTCAACATGCGCATAGAACAGCAAATGTAGTGAACACCAAATAATCAGACATCTGCACCAGCATCCATCCTGTTCAATACAGTTACCATTTTAACAAATGATAAGTTTCATGTGGAACAGATCAATACTTGATCTAGGTAACAAAAGCTTCCTCCTGGACAATTCTGGCTCAGGATGCATTAAGTGTTCACATAGTGCTATTGTTAAACTACTCGACCCATACCGATCTCTTTTTACCTAAATTGTCAAAATGTAAACTCTTGACAAAATTTGTACCTAAACTTGGGGAACTGTAGTGAATTTTCCATGTGAAAAGCGATACTATTAGTATCATAAGAACAAACTTATGAAAAGATTCAGAATGCAGCATTAACCCAATCCACAAGTAGTCAAGTGCACTTTGGAACGGATACAAACCCATGACTCTGAACTCTGGTTCACAGGCTTGAGGTATTTTGCTACCCACCTGCCTTTAGCTTGAGGAAGCTTGGCATGTGGCTATCACATTCATTTTTCTGCAAGCATCTCCCTGTCCTGGGCACTCTCCTTTGTTTCCCTGCTTTCTAGCTTTCTATGCTAAAGAACTTTACAGCAGCCAGGCTTGATTGTGAAGCTCTTCTCGTGAGCTTCGAGTTAGTCTGTAATAGGAAAAACTAAAAAAACCCATATAGACTAGTAGCATCTTAAAGACTAACAAAACATGACACACACACACAGGAAGGAACCAGAGTGCCACCTTGCCTCTTAAGATAAACAAATTCCAGTGTCTTTTTTCATGTATAAAAGGCGACAGATAGACCCATCCACATTTTGTTTCTTCCTGTTGATTCTCTTGTAGATATTGCAACATTTTGCTTAATGTATGCAAATAGGCCTCCACTGAGAGGCAGACAATGCACAATTCACATATGACCAGACAGGCAGATAAGGATCTCTCGCCTCAGACATGTATCTGAGAGGCAGGAGGTTTGTCCCCTCTGGGTGACCTGCCTTAATTCCAAGACCTTAACATAATTCTCAGTAGAGATATATAATTTATATATTATCCGTGCATATATTTTGCCATTATGAGGACAACTTGGCTATTGGCTGCAGTAAAGACCTCATATCACTCTTTGGTGATCTATTAACATGGCATTTAACACAGGGCATCACCTCCTCCCTCCTGTGCCCTCTGCCAGTTGGCACCATGAGATCCCTGATTAACACTATTACTACCTGTTCAAAATTTAATTACTTTTACAGGAAAATTCAATTTTTACCTCCGCTAGTTTTTAACAGCATAAAGAAAATATCACAGAAAAAATGGAAATTCATCTGGAAAGTAAACTTCCCTCTTAAGCTGCTGCCATTCACTCAAAACAGCAGCACAATAATTAGTATTCCATTACTTTTATAACGATTCAGCAAGCCGGAGTGATAACTAAGCTAACAACAGACAGACTGCATCATCAGTACATAAGTGCATCTTTGTAACAGACAACTTCTGCCAATGAATACTTACAATTCTAGACTAAACGGAAAAAGCAAGTCACAAAACTTCTCTATCCAACAAATTTTGTCCAGTGTAAAGAATCACAACAGAAAAATTCAGTTGATCCAATACCACCAGTGTCAATGAAAACCATACTGGAGAGGAGAAAGAATCCGAAGTTTGAGTACTATATGAAGAATTAGGAACCTCTTTGCTTCCCGCACTGATGTCAATTTCTTTGAGGCACTGGGCAAGACTCTTAGCCTCATTTTTTCCTTACATAAAATGCTGCTAAACTAACCAATACAAGCAATGACAGTACCCAGTATATCTGGCACACAAACAGCTTGCTTCAGTGAAGTTTATTCCGATCAACCTTACGCTTCAATCTCAAGCATCACTGAAAATGTCAAGAATGATGTCAGTTTCACACTGCTGCTGCTACTGCTTGGGAAAGCAGCTCCAGTGTTTGCTAAGGAAGAAGTATAGCAGAGACCTCCCTTCCTGCTTACTGACAGCAGCCAAGAGACTCTGAAGAATGAAGAGCAGCAAATAAAACTAGCTTCTGGAAAAGCAAGAACGTGGGATGGGGAAAGGAAGGAAGGGGGTTGAAATTTCACATTTCAGTCTCTAGGAGCCAGAATTTGATGTAAAAGATGAACCATCTAAAAAAGGATCCAAAGACATACCTTGCTATAAACGCATTAGGTAATTCTCTACTGTAGTATCTGATTGCCTCACCACCTTTCATGTATTTATCCTTAACACCCAAAAGCTAGGTAGGGCTCTATAGTCTTCATTTTACAGATGTGCAACTGGGGCACAGAGCGACTGACTTGCTACCGCCACACCTGAAGCTTGGTGGAACAGTAACTTAAACCCAGTCTAGGTTCCAAGTAGGGATGTCAAATCCTGTTTAACCCAGTTAAACATAATGTTTAACCAATTAAAGGGGGAAGTCAAGCTGGGCTGCAGCACCCCTGCACCAGACCCCACTCGTTAACCAGGTTAATCAGTTAACCATTCACATCCCTAGTTCCAAGTCCTAAACTACTGCCCTGGGCACTGAAGCATCCCCTTCCTTAAAAACCCCACACCCTTCACAAGCGCTAACAGCCACAGAGGCAGCACTTCTCACCAAGACACTGTTCATGAACTTCACTAGTGCATTCCCCAATACTAGTCTTTT